CATAAACACATTTCATTACACCAAATACACAAAATAATGTTCTTTTTAGCAGCATCATATGACCCCTTTAAAAACTGTTTCGGAAAACACAACTGAACTCAATAACCCTGGAGAATATTGCTTATGTTTTTACAAGGCCAAATATTCTGCAAGATGCATTACATATATAAGTAAGCACATGCAGAATTGGTGAAAATATGTGGACAATAGCACAATTTGTACCGTAAAAGTTATCAAATCCCATAGAAATGAATACTTTAGGACTTATCTTTTGAATAATCCAAAGACAAATTCACGGTTTCATTAACTAGTTTTAACTAGTGTAATTAGAGTTTCACATTCAAAAAAAATCTGCCCAAGGTTATTTTTGGTTGTTAGTATTTTGGATCTAAATAACTAGACTGTTGCAGAACTGAAAAAGAAGCGTGAGAAACCCTTTTTACCCTTGCAAGGGTTTGAGAACCAGACATATAGTAACAAAAAGTCAAAGCACATAAAAAAGCAATAGTCATCATGACTATGCTGCAATATAACAAAGAGTGAAAAATTGAAGGGGGTCTGAATACTTTCCGTACCCACTGTATATATATACACAAAACAAATAACAAATAACAATAAAATACTAGAAATAGAGGGAAATTAGAATTTCTTACATATTCTATATTTCTGACAAGCTACAATAGATGTTTTTTTTTTACATTAATTTCTAGTATTTTTTGCAATTGCAAAGTGCAATTTTTGGCAAATTGCATGGATAATAATCAATGCACCAAATCAGCATATTAGAATAATTTTTGAAGGATCATGTGACAACTGAAGACTGGAGTATTGATGCTGAAAATGTAGCTTTGTAAATTACATTTGAAAATATATTTAAATGGGAAAAAAAACTAAATTGTAATAGTATTCCACAATATTACTGTTTTACTGTATTTGTGATCAAATAAATACAACCTTGGTGAGCTAGGAGACTTTTTTTTTTTTTTAACATTTAGAAAATCTGACCAACCCCAAACTTTTGAATGGTAATGCAAACTTTGCAAGTGTAAGAATTACTTGGTGCACCATCACAGCGTATTTTAAAAGAGAACGATGTCCTCACCCTGTCCAGTGTGCTGGGGTGCTCCCTGCCGGTAACAGGCATCACACACTCGTACAGGGTTGCCACCCCAGCCCCTCTCGGGCACTGGCATGCTGTGAGTGGAGCAGGCCTGACAGAAACCCTCCCCACATGCCCGACAGTGGTGTTTCCTCTCCGCCTCCTCAAACGCTCTTTTACAACCATGACATTCCTGAACAGACAAACATGATATTTTTACATAATAAAACAATAGGTGTTCTCTTTCACCTATTCCTATAGGGCATATCAACTCACAATGATTTCAGAGTTGGGTTTCCAGTAGGGTGGAGCCACCTGGTCTGTGAGCCAGGCAGTGACGACTTTAGTTGGGCCTGAGCTGTATTCTGTCACTGATTGGATTATGTAATTCATTCCATCCAAAACCCGCTGAGCTGCATTCTGATGGTCTGTCTGGAAGGCATCGGTCTACAAGCATAAAAACAACATTAACCACTGTGAGCATCAATGGAGTCAGCACATGGAAGGGAACACAGAAAAACAACTCACCCTCTGCCAGACATGCTTGACCTCTGGCCGCACCACACTGCTCTCTGGATCCTGGTTGCCCATCCAGTACTGTCTACTGCGGTAGATGATGCCACAGCTGGCACACTCTAAAACATAGCTGTAGAATAGGGGTGTAACGATCCATCGATTAAATGTCTAACGATACGATGCATCAATGCCACACTTGAAATATCGATATCTGTAGTATAAATAGGCACCTTATTTTGACACTGTCCACATGTTCCCCAATGTCCGTCTATGCATTACCTCCAACGCTTGCATTCTCGTTCAAACTCACACGTCGGGACAATAAAACTGCCTGAAGGGCGAGCATAAAGGACGCTCGGGATAGTTGACGGAGTTGTCGAGCCCTTGTGAGAAGTTTTCAGCGTGCAGTGACGCGCGCACACATCCAAAGCGCACGCATACAGACAGCCGCATCGACAGTGTGCTAATACTTGAGCTCTCTTTCGCTTTTTTGTGCATGGATGAACAAATACAGACCAAATTACATCAACGTGCGCCTTGGCGAATATCCTAGTAAACACAGTCGGTTAGGCCTATGTCTTAATGTTATCATGCTATGTCATCAGTATATTGGATCCGTACTTTCGTTCTTAAAGTGAAAGCAGACTTCTGTCTAAGAAAAAAATCTCTCACTGATTTTGACTGAACAACTTTTATAAGGATTAGGGGTGGAACGGTACACAGATGTCACGGTTCCGTACGTACCTCGTATCGGGGGTCACGGTTCGATACGATTTCGGTACAACAGGGGAAAAAAAAAAAAAATCTACTATGCTAGGTTTCTTTTCATTTATTTTGAACAGACAGTAGCACAAATTAAAAAATTTTCCACCTAGATGTGAAAATACTAAATATTATTACATTATGTTATATGTATAAAATCCGCAGTACATATATACATACAAGGAATAAATTCTTGAAATATATTTGATTTAGTTTACAGATAAACAACAGAAAAAAACAGTGCGACACGTAACGTAGCCTATATACGCTGAGTTTCAGTTCATTTTTGTGACAGGCTTAATTTGTTCACAGAAAGGAAACTCAAATGGCAGAAAGCGACATCCTATTTGTTTTCTTTATTTTATAAAAGCACAAGGTTTTGTTTTCATTGTGAGTGTACACAAATAAAAGCAGACCTTTATACAGTGATGCATTATTAATAAGACAAGTGTTTAAAGTTGATTCTGCTGGTATAAGGAAACAGTTGAAGTGATCGCGCCGGCGCGCACACACACACACACACACACACACACACACACACA